TCCAGGGACATGTTCTTGGCTATCAGCTCCATAATTCTAAGCCTGTCGGCCAGCTAGCATCACCCTTCACCCCACTTAGGAGGTACTGGTCAGGTGCTGGAAGGACTGATCATTCTTGTCCAAGGTTGGCAGTACCACTTCATCTGGCAGGGCTCAGCTTGCACCCTTCTAAACTCTAGGTATGTGAGGATAAAAATAAAATAAATAAAAAAAAGAAAGGCCATGATTGCTCCTAGGTGTGCTAGAGGAGAAAGTTCATTGTAGGTGAAGGAGAAAATAGTCAGAGGCAGGGACATCTGGGAGAGTCCAGGGTGGACATGACCAGACTTAGTTGGGCCATGCAGGGATAGGAGGGAGGGAAAAAGAGAGAGGAGGAAGGGGAGAGGGGAAACGGGTGCAACCGCCAGGAGGTCAAAGGTCCAAAAGAGGGCAGGCAACCAAAATGTCTAGGTTATATAGGGAAGAACCTCTGGGGAAAGGGTGGCCCAGGCCGGGGCTGCAAAGGTCAGGGTAGAGGGTGGGGTATGCCAGCCATACCCTGTGATAGGAGGGACTGAGGAATATATTAAATATGCACCTCAGCCCTTGTCCTAGGTTTGAAATTTAACAGTGTCCTATCTATTCTGACTGATGGTGCAATTCTTAGGTCCACAGACAAGGCTTCAAGAAAAGAAGCTGATGTCCCCTTCTGAAAATTTGACTAAAGTCATGGAACATCTTCTCTGGCATGCACAGAGTTTGGCTTGAATAAAAATGTCCCCCATAGGCCCATAGGGAAGTGACACTTTTAGAAGGCGTGGCCTTGTTGGAGTAGGTGTGACTTTGTGTCACTGGAGGCAGGTTTTGAGGTCTCAGATGTTCAAGCCAGGCTCGGTGTGGCAATCCTCTTCCTGCTGCCTGCTGATCCAGATGCAGAGCTCTCAACTACGTATCCAGGACCATATCTGCCTGCATGCTGCCATGCTTTCTGCCATGATGATAATGGACTAAACCAGTAAATTGTAAAGCCAGTCCCAGTGAAACATTTTTCTTTATAAGAATTGCTGTGGTCACGTGTCTGCTCACGGCACTAGAACACTGACTACGATACACAGCTATAACAACTTTTCATACATATTCAAGGACATCGTAGTCCCCGAAAGAACTGTATAGACCTCTGTGATCTGGCCCCGCTGGCCTTGCTGGGCTCATCTGCTGTTTATCTCAAGAACTTCATACCCGCTCCCCCCCCCCCGCCCTCCACCCCACCTCCCACCCTACCCCATCCCCAGCAATCAAAGCCAGCCTCCCACCTCATCTCACTCATCTGCTCATCCCTGCTGCTCCTCCTCTGGCTCCTGTGCAGTTTCCTTCCGTGTTCTCCACCAGACTTCTATGGTGCTGTCTTCTCTACTGCCAGGTCCCCTCTCCAAGCCCCAGGCGGGAAACAAAGCATCTCTTTAGGCTGGCTCTCCACAAGGCTCTTTGGTGAAGTTCGCAGTCCTGGGTTTCGACTACTTCCATGCTCATTTTTCTCTTTTATTAGATTTTTGAGGGTAAGATTTGTATGTTAATCACTGCAATTTTCCTAGCAGCTGTTACAGAGCTGAGGCAAACAGCTGTAAGTATCTGTAGACAGAAGAAACAAAAGAACAATTGAAGGAGAGGAAAGTATGAGTTCCTGATGAAAATAATTTCTGCATTTTGAGCGTGAATCCCGGCTGTGCCACTGACTATAATCATGACCATAGGAAAATGACCCTTAAGCCTTAGTTTTCCAATCTCAGAATGAAAAATCAGAATTTTCCTCAAAAGGTGCCAATGTTTACTGATGGACAGCATCTATAGATACATGCAGCTGTGCCTTGTCACTAGTTATCTTCGGACTGAAATGACAAAATTAAAAGACAGTGAGCCTGCATTCTTTTATTACCTGTTATAAATATATGCCCCTTGTGTTGAAGAGATGGCTCAGTGGTTAACAGCACTGACTGCTCTGCCAGAGGACCCAGGTTCAATTCCCAGCACCCACGTGGCAGCTCACAACTGTCTGTAACTCTAGTCCCAGGGTATCCAATGCTCTCATACAGACATACATGCAGGCAAAACACCAATGCAAATGAAATAAAGATAAATATTTTAAAAAGCGAACCCCTTAAATGCCCACTGGATGCAAAAACACGATCTTGCAAAGAAACTGAAACAGGTCGGAGAGGAGGGGAGGGTAAACCTGCTGAACTCTAAAGTAGAAAGGGAGAAGAGAGGTTTTAGATTTCAGGTTAAGAGTTCATTGGTAGCGCTGGCGAGAAGGCTCTGGATAAAGTTCTTGTGCCAGCTTGAGGATCTATTCGGATCCAGCAGCGTGTGTCTGTAATTCTGCTCCTACAGCAAGACGGGACACAGTGCAGGCCCCTAGACAGTGAGCAATGAGGGATCCTGCCTTAAACAAGGTAGAAGGTAAGGACAGATGCCTGGGGTTTTCCCCTCACTTCCGCACAGTCGATGTGCCCTGCATGAAACTGCAGTCATACAGGGACAGGCACACACCGGTGCCTCTCCTCCTGCATAGACGAGTTCGTAGCAAGGCAATGGAGGTCCTCGAGGAGAAGTGGCGCTTGAGATGGACCGAGAGGGAAGGTAGAAATGTCGGTGACTCTGGGGAAAAGAAGGGGTTGTGTGCCACCAGGGACAGGTACCCAAGAGGGACATGGGAGCTTCATTAGCCTCCTGATGTCTACAGCCTAGAGTTTTAGCTTCTGAGACTAATGGTTAGCCTCCTGCCGTTGCTCCCAAGAACAGTGTTCCTAGACTGTCTACCTTGTGAAGCCCTGGCCTCTAACTAGGTAAAAGAGCCCCTGCGGCCCACAGCTAAGGTCACATTGGCCCGTTTTACTCAGCAGTGGCAGTTCTGCTGCTGCTCTGTGCAGTGTCACCAAGCCCTGACCGTGGTAGAGGTGCCATGACATGGTGATGGGTCACAACCCCACAAACAGAATCCTACAAAGGGAATGAGTCAGCTTACAGTCTTGCGAACCAAGGATGACTCTCACTGCAGATTGTTAAAATGTATCACTTAGAATCAAGCTGCTTGCCAATGAGCCGGGGAAACACACAGAGATGCTATAAAAATGGTTTTCAAAATATTTCATTTTACATGTAATAATGAAATTACTTTAAAAAAATCCACGAATCAGATATCATTTCCAGGAATCCTTTTCTGGCACCATCATATTGACATAGACCATTGCCAGCCTGCCAGCTGTAACGGTGCATGCCTTCCTATGTAGTTCCCTCCCTCCCTCTTTCCTCCTCTCTCTCCCTCCCTCCCCCTCATGGGGTTTATCTGTGTAGCCTTCGCTGTCCTGGAGCTTGCCCTGTAGACCAGGTTGGTTTTGAACTCAGGGATCCACCTGCCTCTGTCGCATGAGTGCTGAGATTAAACGCATGCAGCACCACCACCCAGCTTAAACTTTCTTATCTGTAAAATCGGCATGGCCATGCAACCTTTCTCGTGTGGCATTTGGGATAAGTATATGCTAAGGGACATCTTAGTGCCTGGCTCACAGCCAGGGTCATCTTTCCCCAGATAAGAGTCTGGTTGTTCTCTCACCTCCTTGTTACCCAATAATGCCAGCTCTGACCGCATCCCCCACACAAAGTCCACTGTCCTATTTTCTGCTTTGTATTTCTGTCCACAACACTTCATTCCCACCCCCTGAGTTGTGTTTACTGGTAATCTTTATTGTCTGACTCTTTACTAGCTCTACAAAGTTGGTGTTTGGCACTCGATACAGACTGGATGAACAAATACAAATGTGCGCAGAATAGTCATGGTTGCTAACTTGAGCCTGCTCCCAGTCCACTGGTAACTCTTTAGGATCTGTCTGGAGGGTGTTTGGTTCCCCTTGCATCGCATCTATCTGCACTGTTAGGTTGGAAAAGGCACTCAAAATCCGAGATAGTAATTTAGGCAGTGCCTTATGGAGGGGTCAAGCATCTCTGAACTTGAACCCGAGGTTGAAAATGGCTGGCAAGCCTGCTCATGCAACCCCACTTCTCCTTGTTCAGCTCAGGTACCCAAAGTTAGTCTAAGAGACCCACCACAGAGCCCGAGAGGTCAAAGTATCCCTGGGCATCTTTCCTTTGCTGAATGCAGGTGTATAGCCACACTCACGTAGTCCTCTGGCGCCCAGGACTGGGGAGGCTTCTGGGAGCTCAACCCCAGCCTCCTTGCCCAACGCCGCCTCCGCCTCCGCGGCTAGGTCGCCGGCGCGTGTCTCCACCGCACCGTGGCGCAGGAAGCGACTGACACAGCTCCATCCAGCAGCGGTGGTGAGGTTTAGGCACCAGAGGAGCTGGACACGTAGAGCCTGCGGTAATCGGGGCAGGATGGGGCGTGGGGATAGCCCGGGGGCCTGGGGTCGTTCAGTCTGCCCCGGGATCAGGATCAGTGGGGGTGAAGAACGGGAGGGCGGGGAAAAGCCACATTCGGGTTTAGAGGTACCGAGGGCAGCTTGTGGGGCCCTTTGAAGGGTTCCCAAGTTCGAAGCCTATCCTGCTGCTGAAATCAGATCTTCTGGCCCGAGGGAGTCAGGAAATCCTAGATACAGCTCCTAGTGTGCTGGGCTGAGCATTCAGTGGGCTCATGGAGCGTCTCGACCAGACCACACCCTCTCTCGCAGGTGAGAAACTTTCCCGCCATCAGGGTCTGCGGGCCTCCGTGGCGAAGGGCGTGGTCCCCAGATGCGCACCCCTGCAGTGAGTTTTTTTGTTTTTGTTTTTGTTTTTTTTTTTTTTTGACTAACCCTGAAGTTGACAGGTTTGTTGAGACTAGGGAGCGGGTCTTGTGCCACCTTACTGTTGAGGATGCAATTACAACTCCCTCCTGCGCTCCCTCCTGCGTTCCTCTCTGTCCTGTTCTGGGTAGGGGACTGAGGGAGGCCTTCTGAGAACAAGTGCGCCAGAAAACTGTTCTGAAGCTTCGGTTTCCACAGCGCTTTAGAAGACATGGAGCACCGGATATTGTACTCGATTTAATCTGGCAGCGATGAAGCAATCGGGACTGTTCTGAGTGTTCTGAGAGCGACAGAAGCTTGGAGGAAGGTGTCCCTGTAGCTCCAGGGAAAACAGAGGAACTGCCACACACAAATCAATCCTTAAGCACTGCCCTCTCCCCAAGGTAAGTGGCAGTATTTCCAGCGCGCAGGTGAAAATGAGATATCATTTTCCACCCTGACTCCACCGGCTAACAGTGGGGAGCGGGGGGGGGGGGGGGGGGGGGGGGGGGGGAGATCTGGAAACGAAAGCTGGGATTCCTGGTTTGGAGTCCAGCAGCAAAAACAGGCACAAGAGAATGGCCTGGGCTGCAGGGATCCGGGGAAGGTGGGGCACTGTCAGCCGGTTTTGTTGCAATGTTTATAGCAGGGAGGTGACATCGACGACGGGGTGGGGGTGGGAGCAAGGATAAGTAGCTGCTTCGGTAAGGCAGAGGCCAGTCCAGACTGCGTGGGCAGGTTGTGAAGCCCAAAGGGGACTCCCGGTTTGAAGCTTGCCTGACGGGCGGGCTCTGGAGCATAGAAAGTGTTTTGCTGTCATCTTTGCACAGGCCTGAGGCCTGAAAATAGAGCCAGACTTTTCAAAAGATGGAAACATCGCCTCCCAGAACAGGTTCTTCTAAAAGACAGCTGAAGACCACCTAGGAAAGCATTCCCAGAGGCCATTCATAGCAAGTTGGGCTGTGGATGGGGGTGTGTCATCTCCAGGCTCCTACAAATGTGAGTTATGACTCATGAGGGTAATGATGCCACCTAGTAGGTGGCAACCCGCACTTTGAAAACATGAAAATGTCAGCACTTACTGTGAGAGAGATGTGCAGTCCTGTGCATGTGTTTCTGTTGTATCTCCCGCCGTCACTATCTTAGCCCTGGCCGCTCTGGACAATATAAAGTATGCCTGGCTTTGGAGACATAGAAGGCAGTCTCCTGCTATATCAAAGGATGGGGCACGGTCTTTAAAATGAGCAGGGTTCTGTTTGTGTGCCTTCTCATTGGTGCCACTTCCAGGGACAGAGATGTACGGCTGTGGGAGACTGGACAAAGTTACAATAGCTACAGATCTGAAGGGAACGTATCTGAAAAGATACTAATCCTAGAATGTTGGGCTCACAGTCAGGTTCAAGCTCTAGCTCTGCATTGAAGCTCAGAGACAGTTTTAAAATAGAGGACAGGGGACCAAAGAGATGGCGAGGTGTTTAAGAGTGCTGGCTGCTCTTCCAGAGGGCCTGGGTTCAATTCCTGGCACCCAAACTGTCTGCAAAGCCAGTCCCAGGGGATCCGACACGTCTCCTGGCCTCACTGGGTACTACACACAGGTGGTTAGTAGAATAGCTGGCAGACAGCCATGGGAACTGGATTTGGATCCCCAGCACCCACATTTACAAATGTCAGATGTAGTGGCCGTAATCCTGATGTTACAGAGGTGGAGACGGGGGTCCCTGGGCTAGTCTTTCTAAATCAATGAGCTTTACACTTGAGAAAGATCCTGTGTCAAAAAAGCAAGGTGAAGAGCCTGACACCAATCTCTTGCTTCCCCACGCAAGCATGCACACACACGCATGCACGCCACCCCCCATGGGCAGAGTTGCATGATTATAAATTCCATTGTATGAGAAACTGAAGTAAGAGGATATGTTTGAGGCCAACTAGTGAGACCTTGTCTCGAAGAGAGGTGTGTGTGTGTGTGTGTGTGTGTGTGTGTGTGTGTAGTGGCGAGTAGGAAGAGATGAGATGAGATGGCGGGATAGTGCCTCCGTGATGAGCTACATTCATCTGAAAGATATCTGGAGTTTCAGTAGTCTAAGTGAGGCCTAGGGAAGAGACTTGGATTTCCTTGGTAAGGGCATCCCATTCCTCACACACATTTCGGTGGGGCTTGTTACGTGTCAGGATAATGGGAGTGTTTTCTTTTACTGCGATACCTGTAACAAACCCATGAAGTGGGAACATAATTATCGCTGTGCCCATTTAACAAATGAAGAGACAGAAGCACAAAGGAATGAGGTACTTGTTCATGGTTACATAGCCAATAAAAGAGTGGAGATTAGAGCCAGGCATGTAACCACCATCACCTCTTCCCTCCATGAGGTGTTAGGATTGGAGGAGCCTAGAGTCCACCACATCCATGGTCAATTCTGAGCAGCACCCAGTTAGCATAGGGGCCACTTCAAAGAATCTGGAGGAAGGTGGTTGGAGGCAAGATCTGAAGACCAGATCATTGAGAGGAACAGACAGTGACAATGTTAGCCTGGCAGAGAGAGACGTGACCAGCATTTGAGCCAGTCCTGTGAGAATTAACCAGCAGGATGGGACTTCATTCTTAAGGTCAGTGGTCAGGACTGTCGGGGAGGGTTCCCACAGGATTAGAGGGCACTGCATTTTGTTTTTCAATGCTCACATTCATTTCTGCTAGAAAGAAGAGAAGGAATCAAAAGTTAGCACTCAGTCACAAAAACATGTCTGTAGGTAAAGTAAGGGTACCAGGGTAAGCTTTCTGCCTAAGGCACACACTTTCAAGCTCTGAAAACTTCCAACTGAGAGTACTCAACTGCCTAGTAGAAAGGCTAAGGTCTCTATCTAAAGGCTGTACCTACCAGCCACTCCAAGAGTGTGAGGGTTGCGCTGGGGAGATGGCTCAGTTGGCAAGGTGCCAGCCTTGCAAGCATGAGAACCTGAGTTTGGATCCCCAGAATCCAGGGAAAAGGTTAGGTGCAATGGTGAATGCCGGTAGCCCTAGTTCTCTGGGTCAGGGTAGCGGTAGAGCCAGGTGGATCTCTGAAGTTCATTGATTAGCCAGTCCAGCTCAATCAGAGAGCTTATGGTTCATTGAAAGACCCTGTCTCAAAAAATAAAGGTGGAGAGGAATAGAGGAAGACATGTTACATTGACCTCTGGCCTCCACCTCCTAGGGTCTACATATGCAGAAGCACCTGTAGAATATGCATACATGCATGTGTGCACACACACACAAACACAGAGAGAGAGAGAGAGAGAGAGAGAGAGAGAGAGAGAGAGAGAGAGAGAGAAGAAGAAGAAGAAGAAGAAGAAGAAGAAGAAGAAGAAGAAGAAGANAGAGAGAGAGAGAGAGAGAGAGAGAGAGAGAGAGAGAGAGAGAGAGAAGAAGAAGAAGAAGAAGAAGAAGAAGAAGAAGAAGAAGAAGAAGAAGAGGAGGAGGAGAGAGAGAGAGAGAGAGAACATTTGAAGAGAAGTACCCAGAAAAATCACTGACAATACCACAACCTTTAGTTGTGTGTTGGGAACTGAACTCCTACGCAAGAGCAGTCAGCATCCATGAGTATCTCCCTAGCTGTAAGTTGACAAATTTGTCTGATTTGTCTGTTGTTTGTGGTTAAAAATGACTTTCACATGCATTTCATTTTACTAAAATTGTGACTTTTCCTCAGACCTCAGCAAAGCAAACAACTGGGGTGGGGCAGGGGGAGATGTATTTTCCTTAGGAGGTGGAACATAGTTAAGGTTTCACTGTTTGGGGAGAATTAGGGTCCATCTAAGATGATGCTAATACAGTCTAAGAGCCTGGGGATTAAATTCATTTTCTCTGCCAGGCAAAACCTGAAGCATAACAGGTAGCAGCAGAGAAATCTCAGATGCCACAGTCAGAATCAGCAGCTGAAGGAAGGTGTTTATTAGGGGTGAGGACACACATACATTGTTGATTGAGGTTTTCTGTCCCACTAAGTCCCACATCTGTTTAGTCCCAAAGAAATCACACAGAGGTCCACATTAATTATAAACTGATTGGCCTATTAGCTCAGGCGCCTTATTAACTCTTATAGCTTATATTAGCCCATAATACTTGATTGTGTTAGCCACGTGACTTGGCACCTTTTTCAGTGAGGCCATCACATCTTGCTTGCTCTGTATCTGGCTTCATCTAAATTTTCCTCTTCCAAGAATTCTCGTTGTCCCACCTCTACTTCCTGCCTGGTTGCTCTGCCTATATTTCCTGCCCGACTACTGGCCAATCAGCGTTTATTTAAAATACAAGTGACAGGGTACAGACCATTGTCCCACAGCAATACATGCCACAAACATACAGAGAAAAAGACCTGCAAAATAGGGGAGGCAAAAAAAACCTCTTCTCCGGGGCTGGGAGTTTAAAAACCTTTGAAGAGTCAGTCCTTCCTTTTGGGTTGATCAGTCTGAAGACAGGGTAGTTGACAGTCCCCAACTGTTGTGTGACAGGTTCTTGATGGCCAGTCCATCATCAGGGGGCCTGCTGGCATGGGCCTGACAGCTGTTGTCTCAGGTCCAGGAGGTTAAATGCCACCACCTTCATTACCTAGCCATAGCCCTGCTCCCTGTCTGTCTGCCTAACGGGGGGAGGGGGTGTCTAACTCCTAGGCTCTCAGTAACTGTTATTTTGGGCAAAGGTACAAAGTGATTTTTTTTCTTTTTCTACTGGAGTATGAAAAGCATTTATTCCTATTAGAAAGATGGAGAAAGCATGTGAGACATTAATTTTTTGCTTCTCCTGCCTTGCGAACATGCTTGTTCAGCCCATGATAATGTTGCTTAGATGTGAAGAAAAAAAAAAAAAAGCAGAGGCTGAAAATCTCTGTATGAGATGCGAACACTGAAGGTAGCACGTGGGTTTAATTGTTGCTTCTGCTTCTGCTGCCGAGACCTATATAATTTCTTCCCTGACTAGAGAACATTACTAAAATGCCACAGCCCTCAGGTGGAAATGATGTACAGGCTTCAGATAATTGGCCTTCACATAGTGCATCTGCTCTCCCCACACATGGCCTTGTGACAGCAAAACAACTGCCAGGGGAGGCGGGGCGGGCTGAGGACCTGCTTCCCACAGGGGGCTCACATTGTCCGGGGGACCCAGAAAGAGACATAAGGAGGCAAGTGAGAGGATGTGACCGTACACGTCTCCTGTCTCCCCACCCCATCCATGGTAACACAAGTCCACTAAAAAAAAGCAGACATTCCAGATGAAGCCTTGCACAGCCTTACAGAAGCCTGTGTCCTATTCCTGGCAGTGTTTTGACATTTCTCCCCAGCCTAATGATGCAGGGAGGTCACCCTGTATTCCCTTGAGTCTGAGGCTGAGCTCAGGGTGCTAGGAGTGAGATTACGAGATTATGGCTACCAC